ATTATGTAAACAATAACTGGACTACTTCCAAGGTTATATCCTTCACAGCTGTGAACAAGCAAAGAGCAATATGAAAACACACAAAAACCTCCCACAAGGCAAAGCAGAATCTGATTTGCATCAACTGAGGTACAAAGGACCACATCTTCAGGCTTGCCAGTATTAATTACAAATCAACTTACAAACTCCGAGTATGATGAAAGTCATTCCAGTTACACGCTCATGAACACAGAGTATTTCCAGAGAAAATAAATCTCCAGAAATCCTATCACTGACAGAGTTATTTATTCTCTGTAGAGGAAGGCAGTGCCACTTCTCTTACATGGCTGGAATTAATGCAGGCAAGCAGAAAAGAAAACTGTAGGTGTTTCTGATTTTTAGAACATTTAAAGTTCCTTCCACTAACTTTCAATGTAATTTTTTAATAGTTTTTAAAGAAGCTCTTCACAGTCCATCCTACAGGATAAATGTTTCACTGTGAAGTCCTCCTGAACTGTCAAAGTCATAAAGGCTACAAATCCAGGCCACAGTATTGTACAAAGAATGTATATATTGTCCAACTGTAATTCCTTCTACTCCAGCATGTAGGAGATACCAAACCCTTTGTCTCTTTCAATGATCCTGTATCCTTTGATTAAAGGTCATTTATAAATCTTGAAATTGCTACCAGAATATGTTTCTATATGAAGTGCTTCTAAATAAAGTTCTACTTGAGAATAAAGAAGTACTTCAAATATTTCCTGGAATATGACTTCAAGTTGTCAATCAGTTTATAGTTCATCTGAGGTAAACAATCTATTAGAAACACACTGGATTTTTGTCTTGCAAACATTTAAACCTCCATATTGAGGCTTTTTGTCTATTTCTGCAGATATTTGCCAGCTAAACCTACAATCAACATTCTTACGGTTTCTTACATGACTGAATTGTGGGGAGAGAATTCAGAGAACAAAATCCACATTGTTTCTGTTACAAGCAAAAGCCATTTTCCCCTTACCTTTGATCACATCTGAGCCAGCTACGATGCTCTTCGCTAGAGAGAACCAATTGCTTTGATTGCTAGATTTTCTAGAGAGAATCAATTGCTTGGTGGACAGACAGGTTTGCAAACAGAAAGCCCAGGTAACAGCTAGAGAACACATCTACCCTAAAGGAGCAGTTTCTCTCTTTGTGACTCATCACAGCAGGCACAATGGAGCAGAACCCCTCAGCTCTAGAGAAAGCTTTCCTTTCAAGGGAGCAACAATAGATCATGTCACCCTGACCCAACAATGGCTGAAAATTACTGTGCTTCTGATAATCCCAGAGGATAAATGAAAAACCACAACCAGTTACTGAAACTCCCTTGCAAAAAACTCCCACAAGCAGAAGTTAGCCTGGTTTTGAGGAATTGCCTCCATTTCTGCAGATATGATTTTGTGGCCAAAATTATTTGCAAGCATAAATTATGGGCCCAGTCCAATGTTTACTGAGGCCACCAGAAAAAGGTCCTACTGATTTCAGTAGGGCTGAAATAAAGTCTACATACCAGCTCTACATGCAGCTCTTGGACCTGGAAATAATTGTGGATAAAATTCCGAGTCCTCAAGGCAAGAGGCAAAAATTCAGTTACATATAAAAGTCAGGATCAATAGTTGTCAACCCCCTGGGCTGGCAGGGCTTTATTACTGTGTGAAAAAACCTGATTTTGGATTTGCCACATAATTATTTATATTATTTTACCACTTACCATGTGTATTTATGCTCACCTATAAGTAACTTCAACAAACAGAGAAAAGACAGGATGGGTATTTCACATCTTAAAGATGTTTATAGTGGCACCTTGGATGCAACTATTTTAGTGGGCATAAAGCAAATTATTGCACACTAACAAATAATTTCATACAAATACAGACAAGAACCTGGCTAGCACCTAAGGGCAGCTCACTATCTTTAGCTGCTTGTTGTGAAACAAAGATATCTTGAGTCCCTTCATAAATGAAGTGATAGTTTAGAAGTAATAAATATTCATGATTTAGTCTGGTTTACTTGAAGGACCTCTATAAGCTTAGTGACTTTTCTGTGTAAAAACCTAAAATTAAGAAAAACTTACACTTGTGGCTGTATTTGCTTAAGTCAACCTAATGGCTTCTATTTATGCTGAATGTGAATATTAAAATACTTAATTTTACAGTGAATTAACAGAACATGGGAATTCTTGAAGTTTGTCATGTATATACACTAAGCAAAGCAGAAAGGATACTGATACAGTAACTGAAGAATTCTGGTAAGTTTTCACATGACTTAGAAAAATAGGAGATTTGATGGACAAGTCTGCAAGACAAAAAGATGTTTTGGTGAATAAATGTTATTTAAGGGATTTTGTAAAGCCTGCAGTATTTGAGTACAGATTGTACCATTGGAAAGGTATTGCACACAGCTGATTAAACACATCCTTGAGTCTCCCTCCAAGTACCTCAAACTCCCAACAAAACTTTAAAGAATCCCGCTGTCAATGGAACAAATAACGATATAAAGTGTTAAACCTGTTTCATCTGTCCAGGTGAAAAATGGGAAAGGAAGAAGAATCCATGAAATTACCCAGGAAGAGTCAATAATGTGTTATTTGACTTTATAAGCCAAAGTAAACATCATTCAAGCTGTAATTGAATTAATGCAGCGTTTTGGATAAACAAAATTTGCGCAGGATCTGCTGTTGCAGGAACTTCTGCCCCACAGTACTAAACTCAGCCTCCTTGGACTGCATTTTTGAACTGCTGATCAGGCTCCCTGTGTGAACAGGCAACAGCCCATCCCTCATGCCATTGACTTCCACTCCAATTCTCTGGGCCCCAGGTAAACCTGCAGGTATGCATGTATTAAAAATACTATAATTGTTCTTAAAGGAAGGCAAGATTTATCCATGTTATTTATGCAAAAGAAAAGAAATAGGCACTAACTAAGGTAGGCTGGCTAAGCAGCAGCAAAACTTGTTAGCAGGATTGGCATTGGGTTGCTTATACCCTTCATTCTCCTAGGAGGAAAAATTATGTACAAAGAAAATACCTATGACTTATCAACCACCTTTTAAAAAGGGACCCTCTACTTGTCAGGAAGCATTCAACTATTCCTAAACTGAATATTTTTGTCAGTCAACAAAGCAAAAATGAACTGCTCTACCTCCCCTTCAGATTTCAGGTTATCACCTTCTCTTCTTCAGGGCCTCGATCCCTTGAGAATGCCTTACAGCCTCTTTGATATCCAAGGATAATCATTTTAACATCTAATTATCCTTGTGAGTGGCCACTGTAAGCATCAGCAAACTTGGATAGAGCTTCCAAAGGACACTATGCAACACAGCGCAGTTCATTTATATGAAGGTTAATTGGTCTTTCAGGAACTCATGCTATTTGCTAAAATAACATACAACTCTAGTGCAATGAAGTGATTTTGTTGCTTTGCCTCAAAGCTGAAAGACTTAAAAAACTGGCTTCCTTCTAGGGCAGAAGGGAAGCATCTAGGGCATATTTGGCTGTAAGTTTCACACTTACATTGTTCAACAGATGTTTAAAATGGATTTGTAGACTATAAAGCTGATTATTCACCAGCACTCTGTTACCAGACCATGTCTCAGCAGAGTTTTAAAGAGCAGTTTAATAAATAGAGAATAGGAGATTCTTAACAAGAAATTGCAGCTTTGGGTTTAAGAGGCACATAATTGAGTAGGCCAAAAAGTCAAAGATATTCAACTAACACTACAAAACTACTGGAATGCACCAGAACATGTCTCCAGAATAATTCAGGAAATGTCTGCTGTAATCTTTGTTTTGTGCTGCAGCACATCCACATTTAACTTTTATCACAGACACAGTTAGGTCTGTGTACATTTTATCAGAGCCTGCCTTTCAGATAAGGGCTCTGAGATAGGAATTCTCATCAGAATTCACTTAAAAGAAAATCTGGAGTAACTTTACTGGAAACACATACATCATATGGGACACAAATAAAATAGAACACAAATAAATAAGAACAAGACAAATAAAAAATAAATGAGAACCATGTATTTTATTGTGCCCAGGAAAATATTCAAAATCAGGGCCTTGAACACAAGCAATATTTATCTCAGGAAGCAAAACCACTCTATCAAATTGGAATACTTGCACTGAGAGCTGAGTTATATTACCCGTGTTCCATGTAAAATTAATTGTCCTTCACATTTACTATTGCCTATGGAATTCTGTCTTAAGGGCTGTTTAACACATGGTCAACAGGCTTGGAGATGGAGACATTTGGGGAAGTTACCAGGACCTTTATCAGTGGTTTTAACAAGGATCAGTCTTTTCACCATCACTATCTGCAAATTTTTGTCTAGGGACAAACTTAGAACACTTTTGATTGGGCAAAAACAGTGTGCTTGTTAAATCCCAGTGTGGTTGTACTCATTTAGAATTCAAGTAGTTTGCACTTTTAAAATTAACACAAACCAAAGGGACAGTGCTTTAATTTAGACTAACTAGGAGCAAATTAAGGTAATTTGGATAAATCATCTAAAACCCTTGAATAGATACATCCAATTCAGAAATTACCCTCCCGGAAGCAAGTTCTGAGCTACAGGAGAGAGCCCTCTCTCACTCACTTCAGTATCTGAAACAAGCACTCAGGACTGCCTGTAAAGTTTGCCTGTGGAGATTAAGAAAATGTGTTGGTCTAAAATCAGGCATTAGTTGTTTCTAATGCTGAAGAAGTTCCAAAGATAAATGGATGTAGCACTGATATTTTAAAAGTTGATAACACATGAATGTTCAAAGTCAAAATAAAATACTTAATTCTGCTGGAAGGCTGAAGTACTTTGCTTTACATTGCTTTAATTTATGAGTTTGTTTTACCAGTAGTTGGTAAACTCATACAGTAAGCTAAGCCTACATAATAATCTTAAATTTATAAACCAAAAGACATGAGCACAAGGAAAAGCGAAATGGTAATAGAAAAAAGAGAGCTTTTATGGGCTGATGACAACTAACCTGACACTTTGATCATGCAGTTCTGATTCCTCTAGGACCAGTTAACATTTAGAACACATCAGTCCCGGGCTTGCATCTGGAAAAGAAATTAGTGTTGCTTTAGGAAATTCACTACCTATCCTTCTGAAATGAGGGCAGCAAGAAAGTAGAACTTACAGCCTCAGATGCTAAAAAAGAGCTAGAAACCAGCATTGCAAAACAGTAGCACTCAGAGTTTTTAAAAAATATATTGCACAGCTACAAAACTGCTCAAGTGAAAATGACCAAAAATAACAGTGCAGCAACAGAATTAATGCCTGCTTCTCCACTGCTTTTTCTCTTCAGTAAACAGTCATTGCACCGTCATGGATATGGGTCAAAATATATAAGAACATCCTTTTAGAACACACAATAAGCCCAGATCTCTCCTCTTCAGATTTGGTCCTGCTGTCACTATAAAGACCAATGAAGATGGCTTTTGATTTGACAAATTCAGAATCAAAACACAAATGTGAGCCAAAAATCAAGCTTTTCTACAAATTCTTCTGTCACAGCATTAAAAAAGCTTCTAAAGCCTCCGAGAATTAAATAAGGATTAAATGCCACTAACGTCAGATGTGAGCATAAGTCTGAGTAAGTCTTCAGTGACATCAGCCTCTTTGTTCCCAATGGTACAGAGGCATCTAAACTATTTTAAGGCATCATTAGTGAAGAGCCTAATTTTGATTTATTAAAAGAGGTGCTTACTTAAATATATGAGTTTCTCATCTAGTGCCACAGAACAGGTTTTAATGTACTCAGGGTGAAATCTCTGTAGGCAGTAAGTGGAGACAACACTGGTGTCACTGTTAACCACTCATTACAAGGAGCACACAGACTCCTAACCACAGGGAAGCAGAAAGCTAAAAATCCAAAGGATTTATTTCTTTGCACCTCAAAACCTGCTTGACAGTTCAACAGTCACCTGGGCTCTTGCAAGACCAGGGACTCCACCTGGAGCTCTCTGCTTCTTTCGGATCCTCTGCGACCTCATAAGTATGGGAATAATGACAAAAGGAAAATGAAAACCATGATTACTCAATAAGATGCATCTGCAACACAGTGGAAACAAATGTTCCCTTTTTATCCTGAATATTCTCCTTAAAGCCTTTTGGATTCTGTGTCTTCAAAAACAGTGGAACAGTACAAGTTTAAGGTATTTTGACTTCACTGTCCAATGCCCAAAACCATCTGAGAAGACAGACTGAAGAAAACTATTTAATGGGATTGTACATCTCTTCGGCGTGCCGAACGAAGCACCAAGCTGTGCGATGTGACATCAGCAGCGCCTGCAACACTGCGGGGAAGAGGGGCGGCGAGAAAACCATCTCGCCCCGAGCGTGAATGAATATTAAAGCACAGTCCCGGGGAGACGCTATCGCTGACAGCCCTTTGAAAGGAGCTCACCCGTGACACTGCGGGGCAAAGCGGCGCTGCCTCCTCCTCGTTAGCGCTGTTGGAATAACCCAGCGGGCGCTCATCGCTTCCCGGAGCGATGCCGGCTCCTGCGGGATGCTGCTGCTTCCACAGCGCTCCGGCTGGAGCATCACCGCCTCCAGAGCCCACTGCCACCAGGGCACCGCAGCAGCGATGCTCCCCCGCGCTTCGGCTACGGTACATTGCGTTATTTAATAGGTGAAAAATAGCGAGGCAAAACAGGAAGAAAATACGTCCGATAACGCTGACAAAGTGCAGTTTAAACAAAGGTGGTTAAACAGGCAGCATCAAGTGCCTCCGCCCCAGATTTTGGAGGCACTCGGCGCACAGCTGGCAAGAAGGTTTCGGCCCGGGAGCGTTCCAGACGCTGTGAGGGAGCCGCGGATCGCGGCGGAGGGAGGAGCCGGCTGGGGCCGCCCCGGGGCGGCTGAGGGCCCGAAGGGGATGCGGGTACCCTTCCCCTCACCCCTGGGCACCGCCGGGCGGGCGGCACGGTGCCGTGTCCCCCCTCACGGCCGGGCGGCCGGCACGGTGCCCTGTCCCCCCTCACGGCCGGGCGGGCGGCACGGTGCCGTGTG